TCTCGTAAGCACCATTTTGACCGATTATTCAACTCCTGGTTCGGGTTTGCGGCTCGTTCTGATTGCCAAGGCAAATGTGATGATCATGCAGGGCAATCGCTCGTCGCCGCTCACTATCAGCGCTTAGGGGAATATATTCCAGATTACAACGGGCAGTGTAACCTGCAGCGACCAGGCTTCGTGAACGTCTTCTAACTCTGTAGACTTTTTCGGAGACACCTGCACACCTGACCTTTAGCTAGCTACTTAGTCTTGCTATATACTGCGGTATTTACTAAGTTACTGGAAACTACATTGTTGTGTTCATCATGGCTCCTAAGACCAAGGCCAATCAACTCTGCGTGGCTGTAGCGCACAGTTCATGACTCCTCATCGGGTCAGACTGGAACTTCCTCATTGTCCAATCGATTTTCTGTCAAGGCATAATCTCAAAATAATCACTCAGCTGAATAAACCTTATTGGCTGGGCGGCTGGCCATCTACACAGCACCACAGTTGGATTTATCCCTATAATCCAGCTACGCGAGTAACAAGCTTGCCCTCCGATTGCACCTACCCTGATTTTGGTCGATGTCACACATGTGAAGCTTGATAAGAACACATTGAGCTGTCAAGGATACATCAGAGATTCTAGGTTATCTAACCTCTGCATTTGAACTCACTATCAACAGAATTGTCAGCATATCAGCAATCGGAATTCAGACACTGGAGAACCAACATGGGCTCATGCTAGTTGGTAAGAGGATCATTGTGGTGCGGCTTGCCCGCCCTCGCTCATCAATCTCGCAACCACTCAGATATCTCTGATGCACTGTCAATAGGTTTCGTATTGGGGATGCGCTCACCGGGCATTACAAAGCTTCATTAACCTAGATCGGCTACACAATCGGACTGAGAGTAGTCTCGGAATCGGTTGTCTCCACAGTAGTAGCAACAATCTCATCGGTCACAGCAGCTGTGCTGACCGGTAGAGGGGACGTGGGAGTAGTAGGCTCAACAGGAGCATCGATCGTAGTAGTGACAGCCGCAGTCTCAGTAGCGACCGGGTTGGTGGCATCAGAATCATCCTTGTCTCTACTGGGAGCTTCCCCGGCTGCCGTCGTGATGGTGACCTCGTCAGTCACAGGGGCTGCAGTAGTAGCAACAACCTCATCGGTCACAGCAGCTGTGCTGGCCGGTTGAGGGGTCGTGATAGTAGTAGGCTCAACAGGAGCATCGATCGTAGTGGCAGTCGCAGTCTCAGTAGCGACCGGGGTGGTAGCATCAGAATCATCCTTGTCTCTTCCCGGAGCTTCCCCAGCTGCCGTGGTGATAGTCATCTCGCCTGTCACAGGAGCCGCAGTAGTGACAGCGACCTCATCGGTCACAGCGGGTGTACTGACCGGGAAAGGGGACGTTATAGTAGTAGTAGGCTCAACAGGAGCACCGATCGTAGTCGTGACAATCGCAGCCTCCGTAGCGACCTGGGTGGTAGCATCAGAGTCATCCTTGTCTCTACCCGGAGCTTCCCCAGCTACCGTGGTGATAGTCACCTCGCCAGTCACAGGAGCTGCAGTAGTGACAGCAACCTCATCGGTCACAGCAGCTGTGCTGACCGGGAAAGGGGACGTTATAGTAGTAGTAGGCTCAACAGGAGCACCGATCGTAGTCGTGACAGTCGCAACCTCCGAAGCGACCTGGGTGGTAGCATCAGAGTCATCCTTGTCTCTACCGGGAGCCTCCCCAGCTGCCGTGCTGATGGTCACCTCGCCAGTCACAGGAGCCGCAGTAGTGACAGCGACCTCATCGGTCACAGCGGGCGTACTGACCGGTTGAGGGGACGTCATAATAGTAGTAGGCTCAACAGAAGCACTGATCGTAGTAGCGACTGTCGCAGTCTCAGTAGCGATCGGGGTGGTAGCATCAGCATCATCCTTGTCTCTTCCCGGAACTTCCCCAGCTGCCGTGGTGATGGTGACCCCGCCAGTCATAGGGGCTGCAGTAGTATCAACAGTCTCATCAGTCACAGCAGCTGTGCTGACCAGGAAAGGGGACGTTATAATAGTAGTAGGCTCAACAGGAGCACCGATCGTAGTCGTGACAGTCGCAACCTCCGTAGCGACCTGGGTGGTAGCATCAGAGTCATCCTTGTCTCTACCGGGAGCCTCCCCAGCTGCCGTGGTGATGGTGACCTCGCCAGTCACAGGAGGTGCAGTAGTGACAGCCACCTCATCGGTCACAGCAGCTGTGCTGACCGGGAAAGGGGACGTTATAGTAGTAGTAGGCTCAACAGGAGCACCGATCGTAGTGGTGACAGTTGCAGCCTCCGTAGCGACCTTGGTGGTAGCATCAGAGTCATCCTTGTCTCTACCGGGAGCTTCCCCAGCTGCCGTGCTGATGGTCACTTCGCCAGTCACAGGAGGTGCAGTAGTGACAGCCACCTCATCGGTCACCGCAGCTGTACTGGCCGCTACTGTGGCATCGACAGTAGCTTCAGAACCAGTCGTACTCGTCGCTCCGGGAGCTGCTGTCGTACCTTCTTCGCTTGTAGCGGCCTCAGTGACCTCATCCGTGACTGCAGCAGAGGACGTGGAACCTCGGAGAGCCTCAGTCGGTCCACTCGTGCCGCAGAAGCACGGGGCATCCGAGCCGAAGCAGGTGCTCGGCGTCTTCCAATACTTACAATATGACCCAGGGTAAGTTGTGGCACACTCTGTGTCGCAGTCATTGGCGTTGCCCGTCACGGGATTGATGTCCTGGAAAGCACAGAGAGCGACGAAAACAGTGGAGAAAGTCCGTGAAGCCATCATAGATAAATGCAAACGAGCGGCGGGAAGCTGAGACTAACTGGATGACTAAGAAGGCACATTTCGAGACTCGAAATTCGAGTGTGACTCGCACAATCGGCGACTCACGAGCTGTCATAGCATCCACGATCCATAACCTTGATGACTGCGTCTCATTAGTTGTGGCGAGCATACGTATCGTCCACTCGTTTCACAAGATACTTTGCTCAGTGCGGTACACACTCATTGTTCATGAAAGCCGACAAGCTTTTCAGTGAAAACCTCGTCGTGGGGTGAATAATACAATTACAGAGCGATTCTTGTATCGTGGATGTGAATCGCTTTTGAAGTTGAGGAGGCTGGCGGTAGATTTGCATTGAGAGAGGGGCCGGTTGATGATATTAAACGATCATAGCTTCGCAGTGGGTCGAAGCCTATACATAGCGACACAAATATACAGGGCGTCAAATATAAGTACAGGTCGTCTATAACAGGCTCTTGAGGTCCGAGATGATAGTATTATCCGCTAACAACTCCTTTCGTGCCCATTGGATGACACTTACTTTCTCCATTGATATTAACACGATAGTGTTGAACCGATAGCTAATAGTAGATAACGACGTCGTCTCATTCATCAATAGTCTGATACCTTTCGTCTCTTCCTCATTACAACTGTCCAACACAACGAAAATAAACATAAGTGAATTCGCGTCACAATCATAACAGTACTCGTAGTGCTGCTCAACAAGGCTTCTTTCATTATTGGTGCTATGCCATCCCCAAGGGAGGCCTCCGTACCATTAATGTGTCTACACCATTTTAAAATACTATTTCGCCTTTGACAAATTAAACTCCCTAGCAGCGTACAGTGGAGAATGTTTAGTCTTACGGAGTTATGGAACTCGACACCATGTCACTTAGTTGGATATCAAATCAGAGTCTTAGCTTCAAGGCAGATAGTAGAATGTGGCTGAAGAGTAGAGGGGGTTGGTCTACATCGCAGTGCTTGTCAGTTGAGGAAATCCTCAGCCGGCAAGTGCTTAGTCACTATAAGTCCCACCTAGGTGGTACTATAGTGCTCCTCTACTCGAGCAAAAAAAATGTATATCACTTGATATATTTGGTCTTAAGTATTATCCACAATGTCTTTACTAGCTCAAATTGTGCGACTCGTCGCACCACTCAGCTATTGTGTTTTCCATTCAGTTCGGTTGTGTGGCTTGTCGCCCATACTTCTGCCGCTTGGCTCGTTTAAACGCCACTTCTGCTACGCAGAGCTCAACTTAAACTCCCTAGCAGCGTACAGTGGAGAATGTTTAGTCTTACGGAGTTATGGAACTCGACACCATGTCACTTAGTTGGATATCAAATCAGAGTCTTAGCTTCAAGGCAGATAGTAGAATGTGGCTGAAGAGTAGAGGGGGTTGGTCTACATCGCAGTGCTTGTCAGTTGAGGAAATCCTCAGCCGGCAAGTGCTTAGTCACTATAAGTCCCACCTAGGTGGTACTATAGTGCTCCTCCACCGCGATGTCATGCCCTTCATAACGTCTCTTCAGCCCTCAGGGCGTTGGCAGCAGTAGTAGCTGCGCTACCAGTCTCTGTAGAGTGGCCCATAGATAGGTTGACATACTTGGTCATAGTCTTTGCATAAAGAGGGGAGTTTTTCAAAGTGACACCTTTCAAGTACTTGTTCACAGCTTCACTCGACCAACGACCAAACTCCATTATGCCCCACATAGAGACACCAGCATCGAATAATAACTGACAACCCGTTCTTCGCAGAGAATGGGTGCCTAGAGTCATGTCTTCATCCTTGTGATGATGCACCATTTTGATGATCAAACGTAGATTTCTTCTCCATTGGTCACCGTTGAAGTTGTGAAAGAGGGGCGTAGCAGAGTCAATCAGTTGAGGCTTCTTCATGAGGAACGTAATCAATCTGTGCACCACGCAATGAGGGACGGAACAGTGAAACTTCTGTTCCACACACCCTATGACAATAGTATGTCCGCGATTAAGTTGGTCTGTTTTGGAAGACCGTAAGAAAATACGCAGGACTGCCCACTCTTGCAGGTCGAAAGTTATGTCTCTGGCTTGTAAGGATAAGACTTCACGCGATCGTAGAACGCCGTAAATACCAAGCAATGTAGCAACGATGGTTGCTTCTAGATTGCACGACGGGATTCCTTCTACAGCATCCAAGCGCGCCAGAGAAACTACCTCGTAGATGGTTAGAGGTCGCTTCTGATTTTCTCCCCCATCGGGGAGTTTTTTACGTGCCGCTTTGAGTGCATCCGATAGTGTGACTTCTTCAGATGGCTCAAGTGCTCTGCACAACAGACTTCTGTTGGCAGTTTTTAGACATGAGATGTACTGCGAGATGGTGTTTGCCTTATAACCACCTGTTTTCGTCATGACTAGTATGAAGCCAATGAGAAACTCGAGCTTCAGGGGGAAGTGCTCGATACCTTCAGGCAGGCATCTTTTGTAGAAGTTAGTCACACTTGTGATCTTGGTATGTGTGTTAGGAGCTCTCGAAGAGCTTAAGAACTCCTCGAGAATATGCTTAGGATAAGGCCTGGCCCATAGCGTAGTAGAGAGAGCAGAGGCGCTCTCACGCGAGGATCTTGGCTGCGAGCTTGCCGTACCTACGGCACAATCTTGGAGTAGCGGTTACAGGGAGAGAAACCATTCGAAGCGAGGATACAAACGTTCCCAAGGTTGATTCTTGGGGTAATAACCTCTTGAAATCGCATCGGCAATGGTATTCTGTGAAGATTTTATATGACAGACTTCATAGTCCTGCAACGATGTGGCAAAAGAAGGTAAAGCAGCAAGAAGCAAGTCTCGCAGTATAGGGACTTTAGAGTACAGCTTCTTGAGCACGCCTATAGCCGCTTGGTTGTCGACCATGAGCATTACTGGTACTCGATCATCAACAGCTAGCTTAGAGATGAAGCTGAGCATGATGAGAGCAGCTAAGAGCTCAAGTGTCACCATGTTTGCGGATGTTGGTCTTGTACCACCGGATAGAACTTTCTGTCTAGTTTTCTGTGGTAGGTCACTCAGCCGATAAGCAAACCAGAACGTCTGGCCCTTCATCCAGATACAGCCCCCCCATACCGTCAAGGCTGGCATCGCATGATGCCAAGACAAGTCGGTTATCGTCGATGGAGGGTCTGACGCGAATCGTCTTTGGGAAGTGGTCTACGGTCAGTATATGTAGCCAGAGATCGATGGTCTGCTTCATGTCTTTACTCAGGTCCATTGATCGCAGATCATGACGCTTCATGTATGCAATCGCACCATAGAATACTACCAGGTGGGATTTTAAGTGTGTCAATAGGCCGCACATCCACATAAGCTTGCCGCAAGTCTTCTCAACCTCACTCAGAAAGATGCGAGGTTGCTTTCTCAGACTTCTGAGGTCCTCAATTATCCTTCGTATTTTTTCATCAGGTATCGTCAAAGTGATCTCACCGGAGTTAGGGGAGTTGAGATGGAGCATGTAACCGATATATTTTATCGGGTTCTGGTGGACGATGACCTTGTGAAGCTGAAATCTAAAGCCGTAGGTCAGCCATAATAGTATAGAAACAGCCTCGGCCTCACCGGATGGGATTCCCATTCCGCTGGCAAGGAGGTGCAGTATGTCGTCGACGTAGAGCAGCATTAATGCTAGGACTGCGGAGTACATCAGGGCTACGGTGGCCTTCATGAGTCGGAATGCCATCCCACTTGGTCTGGCGAAAAGGAATGGACTACTCTTGAGTCCGAATGGAAGAACAAGATGTTGTGCAGCGACCTGGGAGGTTCGGACATTCAGTAAACGAGCCTCACAGGGGGACACCGGTACGTGGCGAAAGGCCCCGGCGATATCCAGGCCGACAGCCTGAATGGGAAACCCCCCTCCAACGAGACGGGAAGCTATAGAAAGGACATCTTGTAATTTTGGTAGGCAAGTAGTTTGGTTGAGAGACACTCTCTTGTTGAGAAGACTTCTTCTATAATCTTCTATTATTCGATAGTGCTCTGGCTCTCTATTTCCAGTGACGAGAGGCACATTAGACTTTTCAACCATTGCCATAGGGGCAAAACTCCTGTGTGCGACATCGCAACTATCGAGTAATATCATGTTGCCCGCTTCCACCTCCTGGAGAATCTTCTGGGTAGCCACCGACTCATTTGCACGTACACTAGTATAGTTGTGATAGACGGCCCTAACGTTGTTGTCGACTTTAGCTTTCGACGAAACAGGCCAGTACTTCGAGTGAGGGATAGGGTTTAGGATTCCTAGAGGGCTTCCTTTGGTGAGCATTTCACCTATAGCGGATCTCTCAGATTCATCAATGGAGAATATGTACATAAACAGATCGAACACCTCTAGTTTGAGTGTCGTAGGGGCGGAGTGAGAGCAGTGATACAGTTTAACATCTGGGACTTCCCGATAGTACAATTCAGATAGGACATCTGCTAACTCACTGGCAGCTTTGAGAAAGATTTCGCTACCCTTCTCTTGCGCCAAGTTTGGAAGTTCGTGAACCAAGTTAAACTTGCTGAGGGTCTTCTTTATGAGTCCAGTAACGACGTTGAGAAGGGCAGCCTTATCAGAATCTATAGATAGGTCTTTGGGTAAACCACTCCCGTCGTTCACGACCCTGGCATCCTGAAGGTGTTCCCACTTGGTACGACCCAAACGCAAAAAGATAGTCAGCTCAGAAGACCAAATAGGACAGTTAGTAAGGACAGCACAAGCACCTGACTTGTGATTACTTGCCGACTTCTGGCAATGGTGCTTTACGGCTCCTTTTGGGGCTCGGGGGGTCTCTGTTCTTGCGAAAGGCTTTCTCGACTGACTCATCAAAGTAGGACTTCGGGGCATTGGGCTTGCTCTCTTCAACAGAATGTTTGAATCGACACTTGTCTCCTTGCAAACATCGGCCTTGCCGAAAATACTTGCATACAACGGTTTTCAAATCACGTTGGTGTTTAGTTGAGGACTCCTCCTTGAGAGCCCCCACTCTTGCACTTACAAGAAGGGCGGAATCAACAGTTCCAGGATCAGCGAGGATTGATGCCCAGTTCCATCCTCGGGCTCTATAACCAGCTGCTCTAGCCCTATACTGCTGATCAAATGTTGCTGCAATAGAAAAACCTTTCGTTTCGGACAATTTCACCGCAAGCGACACGTACGATAGAATTGCGAGAGGTGATACTTCTTCTCTAGAAGAGAGAATCATCATGAGTGCCACACCATATCTCATAAAACAGGTAATCCAATGACCGAGAGAGACTACTGGACGAGAAGGAGCAAGACGTACATGGACCGGCTTACCAGTTTCCAGATTTTCTTTGGTGGTAATGGTCGGGTCATCAAGATCCAAGGCCGAGTGCAGCTCGCTCATGCGGACATACATATAAGGATCCTTCTGTAGCTTTGTGAGGAACCTGGTCTGAGGTATCATGTCAGGTGGAGCTTTCCTCCCGATAGGACCAACATGTGAGACCAGATTGATGAGCCCTTTAGTTAAATCGAATGATTCAACCTCAAACTCTGCGCGCTTGCGCTTCAGAGCTTTCCTCGCCTGAGCCTCCTCGATAATGACATTAAGTCTCAACCTAGCCAAAGCTTTGGCAGTTTCGTTGGGATACTTGTTAATGACAACGTCGATGAGAGTCGAAGGTGCTCTTGCCAGATAGTCTACTGTGGTAAGTGCGGCTGTCTCAAGATGTGTTATCAAGGTTGTGAGGTCCTCCTCGGAGATGGGGTTCTCGCCTAGCAGATCCTTGATGAGCTTGGCAGTGGGAGATGTAGGGGCTTCCATTAGACAAAAAAAAATATGTATATCACTTGATATATTTGGTCTTAAGTATTATCCACAATGTCTTTACTAGCTCAAATTGTGCGACTCATCGCACCACTCAGCTATTGTGTTTTCCATTCAGTTCGGTTGTGTGGCTTGTCGCCCATACTTCTGCCGCTTGGCTCGTTTAAACGCCACTTCTGCTACGCAGAGCTCAACTTCCATCGGGCGGGCCATCCCAAGACATACCCTATAGTCAGTTCCGCAGGAGCACGTGATAGGAAGATCAATTTCGTCTGTACGACCAAGTAACCTCAGATTCGACGAATTGTGGGGATCATTAGCTTGGGGCAGGTATGCCATTCGAGTACTGGTGTTCAATATAAGCCAGAGTTTTGGGCAGTAATATAATACACCTCGTTGAATTACCGGAGCTACTTCGGTCAGGACATTGGTCTCGAACTCATGCTTCTTGAAAATCGACTGAACCGAGGTAAACATTGGAATGGCATAGCTGCCCCTCTGAGGAAGTCGAGCTCGCTGATGCTGAGTCAAGCCTTCAGAGGGTGTAGCATTAACATCATCGAGGGGGATTCAGTTTCATATTGCAATTGAAAATGTACTCTCTACTTCATCGCGTCATTTCTCTCATTGGAATATTGAGGTTTTATCGTCTTGGCTGTGTGAACGGTTACAAAGATAGTCTTGTATAATCGGAGACTGATTCGAATGCATCGGACCTCAGTGTCTAATTCGAGTGAATTGGACTTCAGTGATTCTCGCGATATATAGATATATGATGATATCAGACCTCCTTGTGACCTTTTAAAGGATTTGCCTCCGTTAATTGGGAGCCCTCGGGATACTATCGACTTCGACATTGAGCGAAGCAGAGAATGATATCACTCCGTGAGGAGTCTCCACCAAGGATCCTAGAGAAATTCTTTGAGTGAATCGTATTTCTGGCTGCTAGCTTGTAGCCTCTCCCAAATGAACTCGCTTGGTTTCTCCCATGACGAATGAGTTATGAGCCCGTTGTGCTTGTTCCTCAACAACCATGAGCTCTCGCATCCTAACCTTCCCACCGTAGGCTACCGTCCGTAGCATTCTCGGTTGATGCCGGGGAGCTTCATCTACAAGCGTGATGGTCCCGATTCTCTCACGATGACCTTCAACACCACTAAGGATGGCCTTAGACAGTTCACTATTCAGTGTAGTCATCGATACCAAGATGATTGACTCCAGCTCCGCGAAGAAGATGATGAGTACCATGATATCCTCCACGAGTTCCCTGAGTCCGGCCCTTGTGCCTATCGTGGTAACCTCGAGTTCGCGATGCGATGCGATGTGAAAGCCAAACGACTCTATTGACGCAACTCTTTCGATCAATACTCATTCACTCGTTATCAAGATCGCATGCGATACCGCGGGTTAGTCAAAATGCGGTTCATTAAACACTTCAAAGCTTCATTCCAAAATGTCTTCACACACTCGGGCTGGGAGTAGCCTGAGAATCGGCCACCTCAGTCGTTGTCGCTGAGGCTTCGGTGATGACATCAACGTTGGTGGTGGCACTGATAGTAGTGACTGGGAAGTCAGCTGTAGTCGCGAGATTAGTGGCGACGTCGTCTGTTGTAGTAGCAGCAAATGTGGTGGATGAGGCCTCTCCAGTAACATCCGGAGATGTGGTTACTTCCGAGGGAGCTGCTGTGCTGGTCGTTTGTGCAACAGTGGTAGGCTCGACAGGAGCGTCGGTAGGAACATCAGCCGCATCGGCTGTAGTTACCATTCCGGTAGTGTCAGCAGTAACAGAAGTGGCCGTATTGGTTTCTTCGGGAGCGGCTGTTGTGCCGTCCTGGATTGTGGTAGTCTCAGTGACTTCATCGGTGGCTTCACTTGGAGTAGTGGTAACTGCAGCAGCCTCGCAAGTGCATGGCGCATTGGATGAATGGCAGGTGCTTGGTGTAGCCCAGTACTTGCAGTAGGATCCAGGAGTATCCGAGGCACAACCAGCATCACAATTACGGGAAACTTCAGTTGTCTCACCCGACCCGCAGTAACAAGGGACGTTGGAGCCAAAGCACCTGCTAGGTGTCTGCCAGTATTTACAATACGACCCGGGATAGGTGGCGGCACACTCGGCATCGCACGCGGTGGTGTTGCCCATCACGTATGTGATGTCCTGGAGAACATTGAGACAGACGACGATGAAGGGGAAGGAACGGATAGTCCTCGTGCACGAATGTAAGAAAAACTGCCGGAAGTGCGGAGCCAGACTGGACCTGCGAGGGCCTATGCCAACCCCATAGATTGATGCTAATTAGGCAAATCGTTCAAGCCTTAGTATGTCCAATGATGTTCGTTCACTGTAGCTGAACAATAGTGCGCCCGATGTCTATCTCGCCTAATCGTTTCACAAGATACTGCATCTTATACAGTGTGGTGCGCGGTGCGTTCTCAGCCGCTCTTCTTCCCAGAAGTTTGGTCGGCTTCTCGCAAGCACCGTTTTAACTGATTAGACATCTCCTGGTTCGGGTCTGCGGCTCGTTCTGATTGCCAAGGCAAATGTGATGATCATGCAGGGCAATCGCTCGTCGCCGCTCACTATCAGCGCTTAGGGGAATATATTCCAGATTACAACGGGCAGTGTAACCTGCAGCGATCAGGCTTCGTGAACGTCTTCTAACTCTGCGTGGCTGTAGCGCACAGTTCATGACTCCTCATCGGGTCAGACTGGAACTTCCTCATTGTCCAATCGATTTTCTGTCAAGGCATAATCTCAGAATAATTGCTCAGCTGAATAAACCTTATTGGCTGGGCGGCTGGCCATCTATACAGCACCACAGCTGGCTTGATTGCCATAGTGAGCTACGCGAGTTACAAGCTTGCCCTCTGATTGCATCTACCCTGATGCTTGGTCGGTGTCACACATGTCAAGTTTGATAAGAATACATTGAGTTGTCAAGGATACACCCCTCCACATATTCTTAGCATATCCGGTTTTTCGACTCGTGGACAGCCACCACAACGAGTATCATCTTGCGGCTCAGGGAGGTATGTACTTATGCTTTACCTGATATGACCTTCAAGTTTCAGAAGGGCCTAGCTCTTCGTAGTTAGTGAGAGGTCGAGGACTCCACATATTCTTAGCATACACGTGTTAAAATTTCGCCTCAAAATACCAACTTTTACTCGGGGAGTATATCTATAACTCCGCTCCTGATCTAATGCTATACATCAACAGAATGAGAATCGTTCATAATGGTATCCCTCCATGTTTCACTCTCATAGTAATATGTGGAGGGGTGTACATCAGAGGTTCTAGGATACCCAACCTCTGTATTTCAACTCACTATCAACAGAATTGTCAGCATATCAGCAATCGGAGTTCAGACACTGGAGAACCAACATGGGCTCATGCTAGTTGGTAAGAGGATCATTGTGGTGCGGCTTGCCCGCCCTCGCTCATCAATCTCGGAACCACTCAGATATCTCTGATGCACTGTCAATAGGTTTCGTATTGGGGTATAGCGTCGATGCTTTCATGATGTTACGACGCAACGTTTCCAACACAACTTGGACAGATGAACACTTATACACTCATTATCAAGACATCATGCAGTGGCCCGGATTGTATTAAATGCGCTCACCGGGCATTACAAAGCTTCATTACCCTAAATCGGCTACACAATCGGACTGAGAGTAGTCCCGGAAGCGGTCGTCTCCACAGTAGTAGCAACAACCTCATCGGTCACAGCAGCTGTGCTGACCGGTAGAGGGGACGTGGGAGTAGTAGGCTCAACAGGAGCATCGATCGTAGTAGTGACAGCCGCAGTCTCAGTAGCAACCGGGTTGGTGGCATCAGAATCATCCTTGTCTCTACTGGGAGCTTCCCCGGCTGCCGTCGTGATGGTGACCCCGTCAGTCACAGGGGCTGCAGTAGTAGCAACAACCTGATCGGTCACAGCAGCTGTGCTGGCCGGTTGAGGGGTCGTGATAGTAGTAGTGGGCTCAACAGGAGCATCGATCCTAGTGGCAGTCGCAGTCTCAGTAGCAACCGGGGTGGTAGCATCAGAATCATTCTTGTCTCTTCCCGGAGCTTCCCCAGCTGCCGTGGTGATAGTCACCTCGCCAGTCACAGGAGCCGCAGTAGTGACAGCGACCTCATCGGTCACAGCGGGTGTACTGACCGGTAGAGGGGACGTCATAATAGTAGTAGGCTCAACAGAAGCACTGATCGTGGTAGCCACAGTGGCAGTCTCAGTAGCGATCGGGGTGGTAGCATCAGAATCATCCTTGTCTCTACCGGGAGCTTCCCCAGCTGCCGTGGTAATGGTGACCTCGCCAGTCACAGGAGCTGCAGTAGTATCAACAATCTTATCGGTCACAGCAGCTGTGCTGACCGGGGAAGGAGACGTTATAGTAGTAGTAGGCTCAACAGGAGCACCGATCGTAGTCGTGACAGTCGCAACCTCCGTAGCGACCTGGGTGGTAGCATCAGAGTCATCCTTGTCTCTACCGGGAGCCTCCCCAGCTGCCGTGCTGATGGTCACTTCGCCAGTCACAGGAGCTGCAGTAGTGACAGCGACCTCATCGGTCACAGCAGCTGTGCTGACGGGGAAAGGGGACGTTATAGTAGTAGTAGGCTCAACAGGAGCACCGATCGTAGTCGTGACAGTCGCAGCCTCCGTAGCGACCTGGGTGGTAGCATCAGAATCATCCTTGTCTCTTCCCGGAGCTTCCCCAGCTGCCGTGGTGATAGTCACCTCGCCAGTCGCAGGAGCTGCAGTAGTGACAGCGACCTCATCGGTCACAGCAGCTGTGCTGACTGGGAAAGGGGACGTTATAGTAGTAGTAGGCTCAACAGGAGCACCGATCGTAGTCGTGACAGTCGCAGCCTCCGTAGCGACCTGGGTGGTAGCATCAGAGTCATCCTTGTCTCTTCCCGGAGCTTCCCCAGCTGCCGTGGTGATAGTCACCTCGCCAGTCACAGGAGCCGCAGTAGTGACAGCCACCTCATC